GTTTTTTCTTTTTAATTTAAAGATAAATTGAAGTTAGCTGATAAGAACGTTGTTGTAGAAAGAGTAAACGCATTACGATTTATCTAAATTTAGTAATAAAGCAAACTAACCAAAATTTCAACTGTTCACTTTTGTTTTCGAATTTTCCAATTTGTTTAGAAAACAATAAACCTATTTAAAAATAATAAAATGACGTTTTAGTTATAACGTTAATGTGGTAGATATAAGAGATAAATACAAATTAATACTATCTGATTAAAAATAAACGTAATTGTATTTCTTTATCTTAACTATTGTTGAAAAACTTTGAAATTGAATTTTTTAGTGGTCGGTTTTTTATGGAGGTTAGTTTAGTTTCCTTGTTGTTTGGATCTGATGGTATGCAATATGTAAGTTGACCGGTTGGCACAGGATTCTAGACAAAGTACCAAAGTACCATGGCGATTTTCACAGGACATAGATCTGATACACGCGTCCAAGTTAGTGCAGGAATATTTTGATGAGAAAAACATAATTTTACTTCCAATGTTAAAAGAGACTTTAGTATTATTCATACAAACTCCTGCAGAATTAAACATTGGTTGATTCCATAGGGGGAGAGGGAAAGAGGAAGGGAGATATGAAGCGGGAGGGAGAAAGAGGGAGGGAAAGAGAAAGGGAGTATATAAAACTACTAATATTACCACACAAATTAAAATGATATCAATAGCCAAGTCCTGGCAACTGGTTGGTTTGTTTTGACTGGTGACTAATTAATAATCTATAATGAAATTTTTGTATTAATTTCGCCATATTTTCTATATAATATAATTTGTCATTCAGAGAGAGCCTACAGGAACATTTCTAAAACTTATTTATAAATTCTTACTTTTTTGTGCCAATAAATGATTTAAACAAATTACCTCATAAATTCTTATTTGTATGGCCGAACTAAAAAAAATGACGCAAATTTAACGAATTTTTGAATTTGAATTTATATGACTAGCCTTGAGATTTATGAAACTTCTAATGAATCTAGCTGGATATATTTATTTCCAGCGTAGATATTCCTAATAATCATTTCCAAGCCAGATGCGGCGTTCCACATATATATTTCGAAGGCAAATACAAAATCGACATCAACGCACTTATTTTAACTTACTTATTGTTGAGGATACAACATCCGGGTAATTCAAAGTCCAAAAGGTTTTCGCAAGCACTTTAAAGACGTGACCTAATTATCGCCAACATGGTATGCCTTGCGTTTATAACCAAAATTATAATCACCCTTTGTACAACACGCGCTTAACGTAAAGCAGGAACGAGATTTCACTCTACGAATAGAAAAATTAATAAAATCCTTTCACAACATCGAAGGAAAAATCAACGAAAACGATTAATTGCCAGCAAGCGGGAGACGCCTCCCCCTTCTTGCCATTGCTCATAACCTCAACCGTGTAACTCGGGTTGCCAGCGTGCCTGGCGTCTAACATTTGAATTTATTTATTTGTTCGGTTTTCCCGAACACTTATTATTATTATTATTACTTATTATTATACGCCCTTGAGGCGCTCTTTAATGAGTTTATTTTTTAGTTTATGTTAATAAAATAGTGCAAAGAGTTTATATATGATTTTAGTACTCAAATTTATTTTGTGTAATTTGAAATCTTGCTTTTCGTTCTTGACTCTTTGAAGTTGTAGTATAATCCTTTTTTCTACTCCTACCTGTAAAATACCTAATTACACACCGATCTAGAGTGCGGGAAGCGTCAGTTTCGTTTCCCACGGATCCGAGCCACTTCGGACATTTCCGGGATTTTACCGCACGAATTTGGGAGCAATCGAATGTTTTCGGAGATATCTCTCCCGCGCTTTGAATTTTGATTGTTGTTGTTTTGCGAAAATATACCCAAAAATTAACGGTCGTAGAAAAAGTATAGTATGCAACAAGCTCGGTAAATTTTTAACTCACTCGTTTATTGAAACTGGCACCGTTGGAACCAATTAGCCATATCCTTTTTGCAAAATAGTAATATGACACAACGGTGCGATAATATATCTGACATTGTGAAAAACAATAACACGATTGTTGTTTATGTTTTCGTCAGGGCGGGTTATCTGGTCTTTGTCGAAACGTCGGTTAATGGAAACATTGCAGCTGACTTATTGCACACTACACGCTCGTACTTTGGCCGTTTGAAAAAAAGATCTTGAATCGGAATTAGCGCGCTCGTTACGTTCAATGAAAACAAGTTGTATCGATAAAATTTATATTACATTATTATCCTCGGTAGCGTTTTTTTTTTTTTTTTTTACAGTCTATAAAAAGCAAGGCCGTCGATGATAAGCGCATTTTTGAAAACTTTTCTTCGTAAAAAAATGTACTAACCTTTATTTTTTTGGAACTATATTAGTACAAAAATACACAATACAAATCAGCCACGTTAAAGAAGATTTTGACTTATTTCATTCATGAGCTACTTAAAAAGTTACCTAACTTAATTAAGATGTACTTAAAGTAATTTGCTTTCTAAACTGATAAATGTTTAAAAGTTGCTCGCAAAATCATTTTTAGTTTTTCGAAATGCTCCTAGCTGCGTAAATATTAATTATGACAAAAAACACAGAAGCTTCGGGAAATTTTATTTTTTTTATAAAATGACAATCTTTTTCTCGCACTTGTCATTTTTGGGATATAATTTTTTTAATCGAAACCTTAATTAATAGAGAATTTTATTACGAATTCTAAAGATAAGATAATATAAGAATAATATTTGACATTAACATTAAACAAGTCTGATATGTAAATCTTAGTATTTTTATTTTTGACATTTTTTTTTTGTTACTTACTTATATATTTTTTCTACTAACTATTTTGTTATCCTTATGCATGTACTTGTCCCACGGGTTTGGGAGCAATTCTGACGCACATGTCAATGGATGTATTCGTGTTGTTTTGCAAAAATTCACCCATGAGCGTTTTTCTTATTTTTTTTTATCGCGTTTTAGCTTAACGTTGTTCACTATGGTGACAATACAAGGAACAAGGTTGTTTTAGTTTGACAACTTACTGATTTCACAATAAAGTTTTTTTGCTCGTTTCAATTTAGAAAAACGCGATATTGTACGCGCTGTCCCATTTTGGTTTTTAGAATGCAGGGTGATTTTGGAAATTTTTTAGTGCCCCCCTGTATTATCCGATGAAGTGTTGGATAGGTGAAAAGCACACCCGATATAGATTTTTACGTAGAATTTTTGACTTTTTCAAAAAAAAATAGTTTGTTTTTTTGGAGGGAACACCCTATATTTGATAGACTAATTCGATTCCGCCTGGTATGAGCTTCTTAACAAAATGTATTACAGTATGGGGTTATTTGTATAAATTGACCTTACAAAAATGTTTTTTTTTTATTTTTGCGGTAGGCCTTGGAATTTTTTTTTATTAAATATCTAAAATAGTTAACTTACTTATTCCTGACAATACTTACACAATAACTTTTATAATCTTAGTTTAGTATTCGAATAGCCACTTTAATAGCAATTTCAAGTATATAACATAGTACGGGTCCCTGATTTACCGTTTTGGCAGATAAAATTCAAAACACGGGGCCAAGATTTAAGTTATTAAGATATGAAACTGAGAATTGGGCTCTTTATCAACTTGTTCACAACCGTTTCAAAGCATTGTTAAAAAGTCATATTTAAAACATTATTTAAAGACATGTGGTCTATATTATTAAGAATATGAATATTTTGTAAAAGTTTTTTTCCATTTAAAGATCTTATTTACAAGATTCTTAAATTATGAATGTAAAAGAATTGTATTATTGGAAAATAACTGCCAAAAGTGGCTATTCTAAAATCCAATAATATACGGGGTGTCTGCGAAACGTGGCAACACCGCGTATTGTATGAGAAGTATTTCAAATTTGATCATTGCCTAAGGAAAAGAATTATTTTCGTAAAAATAATCGAAGGAAAAAAGTTTAAAAACCCAACAGCGATGTTTTAAACGTAACCCGAATTCTGCAGATGATCGCTAATAAGTTCGAAACTGTGCATCACAGACCCATATTCACATATATCGTTGAATTGTAATGTAGTTATTGAAAATGTAGGGTGTTCGATTTAAAAAAATGTAAAAAAAATGAAAGGCATTTTAATAGAAACAAGTTTTGTATTTATTTTTTTTTGTAACTCCCGTAGGTGTCGGGATAAAGTATACGCCCCTCTTAAACGGGCCGCCCTGTACATCCGCGCTGGAATAATACTGGTAAAACCTTATCTTTGCTCCACAGCGAAAAATAATTTCACTATACGCGGTCTATTTTTAAACGGAAGATAAGAAACGACTTTATGCGAGTTATGTAAAAATGTTATTAGACAGTGTGTCGGTTGGTTTCGAAACAATAATATGTTTGCAACGATTTTTAACGCGAACAATTATTTTGAAATCACTCGGAAGAAATGCGATAAACTTATTGTTTTGTTAAGTCATTTCTTTGTGCCACCATGGATGTTAATTCGATAAAACTATAAGACGATTATTGGGCTATTGGGCGAATCCTTCCAAAATGACGAAATAACTATATTTTACTTTTTTTAATGTTTTTTTTATTTAAAAAAATGAACCCGCAATGACTTCCGCGTGCCAGCAAAAGTAAAAAACAAAACGTTATTAAGCAGGAGTAATGGCCAAATATATCGACATTTATAAAGTGTAGTCAACACCTGCAGCACAGAGTTGCCAAACTGTTATATTTGTTATATTTAATGAGGAAACTTATTTCATTCTTACAGCTTGCCCGGGTCCGTTCTTAATTCGTATCAGTCAGTCAATTTCTTATATCTATGAACAGACTTTATCTGTGACCCCATTTACCATTACTGCAGGGTTACCCGAAATTATTACTAATCATTTTAAAAGTCGCTGTCATTAGCAAACAATTCGCAAGTGTAACAATCGAACCGACTCACATTTTCCTGGCTTTTGTCGTTAATCGTCCACGTGTTTTGCAGCTGACGGCGTCACCTACTCGTTCGGCATTTTCTACTACGAGTTCCTGGAATATTTCAAGGAAGGAAAATCACTGACGTCCTGGATTCTCTCCATACTAGTCGGCGTCACGCTGTGCTCAGGTATATCGCTTACGTAATATATCATTTTTTAATTCATTTAATTATCGTAATTAAATTTGGCGACGAGTTTAATTATTACGCTGGCGTTGTTTTTCCGTGATGGCGTTTGTGTGCCGATAAAATCGACCCGTAATGGAAAAACACGGGTTTCTCGAAACTTTCCTCAAGTTCTACCGAAAAAAAACGGAGGGTGCAAAAAATATACCTACCTATATATATGAAATACATCTTGTTACTTTCGAAAATCGATGAAATCGTTTTTTGCGAAAGTATCTGCGCCCGTATAAAAATTTTATATCTCGGTAACGGTAAGTCCTACGGGATCGCCGTTAGTACAGAAATGATCGCTGTCGAAAAAAAAATTTTTTTTGTCTGTCCGTTCTCCGTTCTCGTCTTTTGGTTTTTCCTAAATAACTTTCGAACCGTTGGAGCTACAAAATTGAAATTTGCCTCATTCTGAACCCTCCACGAGGCACCTAAGCTTGTAAGAAATTGCCCTGATCCGACGCCGGTATCCATCTTTTTTTTGCGATTTTCGACTGTTTTTTGGAACTTTCTATGAAACACGATAACTGTCCGAAATTCGCAGCAATCGACTTCATATTTGGCAGATATATGCAGCTTTGCCCCGTGACGGAACCTATTGAAAATGGGGTGGGAGGCTGAGGGGTCGGGAAGTATTCTAAAAAAATAAAAAATCACGTGTGCAAGGGTCTACAATGGACATCATTTCTCAAAAACTGTTTACGAGACCCAAATAAAATTCTTGAACCAGAATAAGCAGAAGATACAGCTCTGCAAACTTTTATTCTTGACAATTTTTCAAGAATATGCGCCGCAAATTCAAAAAAACTGAAAAGGGGGGACCCACTATTATTCAGATCTCACTTTCTTTTATATTGCGATAGAGCCCGCATAGATAGCAAAAACTTTTGTATTTAAGATTTTCACTTATTGTACCGGGTGTTCCCGATATTCCGTGGTAAATGAGAAATGTGTTAAGTGTTCTAAATTTGCAGATATCAACTTCAAATTTAGCAGAGAAGTAAAAGTACGTGTCCACATTTAAACGGTTTGAAATTGGGCGCAATCAAATTTTACCAAGTATTTTTTCAAAATGTTTGAAATTTTTTTTTTTGGTAATTTTAGCTTTCAGAAAAATATGTTTTCCTCCATAATCGTTCATCCGATTGGCAAAATTCTTTAACCGGCAGACGCAGAAAATTCATTTATTTTGGGGTTTCTTTCAATTATATACAGGGTTTTCAAATTATCAAAAATCTAGAAGACCTAGAAAATTGTTCTTTTACAGAGTAAATTATTAGTCGCAAATCAAAACTCGTAAAAAATATGGCTAATTGGCTCAAACGGTGCCATAGGCCGCATCAAGAGCTACAATTCTTGTATTTTCGGTTTTCGTCTATCTCATACGCTGCCCGGGATATTTGAAAAAATCCATATTGAAATCGTTATTTCGGGGGGATCATTACAACGCACTGCATGGTTTCACAAAAAACTTATTTTCTCGAAAACCATTTACTATTTTCAAAAAAACCTGGAAGTAGGAAACGTGGAAAATCCAGGGCTATAACCTCTACTTCGAACAATGATTGTATCATATACAGGGCGTGTCGTTTATGGCCAAAAAATGGAAGACAGCGTAATACCACAGAAGAATTGTTGAAAAGATCATATACCTATAAGATACCCATTTGCATTAACCCTTTCAATATGGTATTATAGAAGAAAAAATGTAAAAAAAAGCAGCGCAAAAATGAATGAATTTTTGGGAAAAGCGGCATTAATTAATTTCTTGCATTAATTTAATTTGTAAAACGTGGGTAAAAAAATGAATGAATCATGCATGGTATTTTTTATGAAAATTCATTTAATATACTTGAAAAATTGAATTTGAAAAACAACTCGGGTCTCGACAGATTTACAGATACGCATACAAGTAATTGACGAAAATAAATATTTATTGAGGACATTCCACTGGCGACACTTCTGATAATTTATAATTCTTTTGATTTTTTTTTCGAATTGTGGCGGTGAGTTATGAATTTGTTTGCGATTTATTTTCCACATCACAATTTTTGAAAAATAGCTACTAGGTTTATAATTTCGTTATAATATTGTTAATATATTTTTTTTTTAATTTGCAAAACGGTATGATCAATTCAAAGGCGAGTTACCATGGAATGGTCCGCTTGACATTGTCGGGTGAAATTTAAAAATACCGTAACATACGATACGATATGTCCGTGAAAGATATTATTCGTATGAAACGTATTTACTTAGCACTCGAGACTATGCTCGATTTTTATCTCGACACTCGTAAAAGAGCGTATCGTAGGTATCGTCTAAGGTTTTTGGTGATAACGTGAAAGCGCAAAAAAATTCATTTTTAATTTTGCCGCAACGGCATGCAGATAAATAGGGAACGAAACGGCTAATCAGCTCGTCGCGATCTTTAATACTGTTTTAAAGCGATATTCTACGGGGGGTCTCTGATACAGCAGTCACTCGAAAATGCGCTACGCTAATCTTTGATCGATTTTTTAACAGATTTCTAAAACATCTTAAAATATCATCGAGGATATAGGTCGATACTTTAAGATTTTGAATTTGACGCAGGAATTACTCGGTTTTTTGTCTCGCTCCAACCTGTCTCTATATATGATCCATTTTGAGTGCGTATATCTCTGTCTATTTCTTCACTCCCCCACCCCTTTCTCTCTCTCCCTCCCCCATTCTACTTCCTATTTCTTCTTCCTCTCTCCTTTTTTCTCCCATTCCATTCTCTCATCGTTTTTCCAGTCTCTATTTGTGTTTATTCCCCATAGATGAGTATCGAACTTTTAAAAACCGTTTTTCATTAGTTCACATCCATCTTTCTCTTTACTTGTTCCCCCTTTTTCTTTCTATGGGCTCCCTCCCTTTCTTTCCCTCTTCACTTAACCTTTCTGCACCTCTCATCGCTCCATTTGGGCGTCTCTCCCTCTTTCTAACGTTTTTTCATGTCTCATCGCTGCCTTTCGTACGTGTTTCTCTCTATCGTTCTTTTTCTTCCTTTCCATTTTCTTCCTCTTCTTTCCCATCCTATGTCTCTGTCTGTGTCTATACCTCATAGAGGTGCGGGAAACTGTTAAAAACCAATTTTGACTATCTTCCTATCCATCTTTCTCTTTATTTGTTTCCCCTCTCCTGTCTACGCCTCTGCCTCTCCCATTCTCTCTCTCTCTCTCTCTCTCTCTCTCTCTCTTCTTTTTCCCATCTTCTTCTTCTTCCTCCTCCCTCTGACCTTTTTTCCTCTCTCTATCTGTCTCCCTTCCTGTCCCTGTCTTGCCTTTGGCTTCTTGGGTTTTGGATTCCTGTTGGTAGTTTTTTCATAATTTTCATAATATTTTCCGCATAGACGAATGCCGCCCTTTTAGTTTCTATATGTTTACCTCTCGCTTTTTTTCCCTCTCCATCTCCCCTTTAACCTCGTACACCGCTCGTCACATCATTTTGTATATTTCTCCATTTCCCTCTCTTCAACCTCTCTCTCTCTCTCTCTCTCTGTCATCTCTCTTTTTCTTCTTTTTTCTCTATCAGTCCTTTGTTCTTCCATTTTACTTTCACCCTCTTTCAGTTCCCTGACCATTTTTCCAATATCTATCAGTTTCTACTCCTCTTAGATGAGTGGCGAATTATTAAAAACCGCTCTTCTTATCCTTTCACACTTTTGCCTACTCCCTCCTGCTGGCGCCACTCCTGAGAGAATAGTGGCGTCTTTGTAAAAACCAATTTTTGGCTATCTGATAATCTTTCCCTTTTTTCCTTTCTATGGGTCTCGCTTGCTCCTCCCCCTTTCCTCGTCCCATCAACCTTTCTCTGTTTTACGTGTCCCCCTTCGCCACGTAACTTTTTTTCCTTCTTTTCTGATTCCCAGCTATGTGACTAGTCCGTGTTACCACTGCCACCAGTCCTAGCTAGTGAGATAAGGATAGTAGTTGGTATCCCTTCTTGATCCACCGATTGCTAACCAATGAATTCCCATCGTTACAGGTCCGATATCGAGCTCGCTGGTGAACCGATGGGGGTGCCGCGCGGTTACGATCGCGGGCGCCATCTTGGCTTCCGCGTGCATGGTCGTTTCCTATTGGGCGAAGAACGTCATCACGCTCTGCGTAACGATCGGTATCGGTACGGGTCTCGGTTTCGGACTCATTTACCTGCCGGCCATCGTCAGCGTCACGATGTACTTCGAGAAGAAACGTTCCCTAGCGACCGGGATAGCCGTCTGCGGTTCCGGTTTCGGCACTTTCATCTTCGCCCCGATCATATCGAAACTGCTGACCGCATACGGATGGCGCGGCTCCCTAATGATCATCGCCGCCATCGTGTTGGGCTGTACGGTGTTCGGCGCGTTGTTCAGGCCGTTGGAAAAACCGGAAAAGGAGCTGAGCGATAAAACGTTGAAGGCGTGCGAGGCGCAGCTGGACGTGCGGGTGTCGGATCGGGAGTTCACGGAGTACGGTCCCGTGATGCACGCGAACGGAGAGAGCAAGATGCTGAGGCCGCACAGCGTCGCGCATTTCTCGTTGCCCAAGTCGACCAAGCACGAACCGAACGGCAACATCCCGGAGAAATTGTTCGCGCTCAGTCAACCGATGCTGAGTCAGTACTACGGCAGCCTGAGACGCCACCACGGACCCATCGACAAGCCGGACGTTTTCTACCAGGGCAGTCTGATGAACATCCCCTCGTACAGGTCGAGGTTGGACTTGAAGCACCCGGACGCGTTCCGGGAGAGGAGCCACTCCGCCTTCAGTTACCGGAAACACTACCGGAGCGGGGGCGACGGTCCCGACGCGGTGGTCTGCGGTTGTGTCTCGTGTTCGCCCGAAACCAAGGACACGCTCAAGGAAATGCTGGACTTTTCCCTCTTCAAAGATCCGATCTTTATTATTTTCTCCGTCAGTAATCTCCTGACTAGTATCGGGTTCAATATACCGTACGTGTATTTGGTGCCCAAGGGCATGGAGTTGGGTATGTCGGTCGAGAAAGCGGGCATTCTCATTTCCATAATCGGGATCGCCAACACGGTAGGCAGGATCGTTCTCGGGTACATATCGGACAAACCGTGGATCGACAGGCTGCAGGTGTACAATTGGAGTCTTGCCGTTTGCGGAGCAGGTAAGCGAACGAACCAGTAAACCGCATACTGCTCAGTACAGATACTTTTCGTAAAGTGTAATTCAGAATCGATATTTGATGCGTACTCGGCCAAAGAAAACCGTTAAAATGTTAATTCATTATTGAAAATTTTACAAAGGCGTTATACCAGTTCTGAAGATTTTAACGTATCTGCAAGACATAACGAACGACGGATTGCCCGATAAAACTAACCAAAACTATTTCCGGGTCTGTTTCTTAGAGATACTTGAAGCTTCTTTGACCTTGAATGATTATCGATGCGGCCGTTAGTCAGTTTACCAATACAATTTCTTTCCTTCAAATCTGAGACGAGTTCTTTAATGAGATTCGGCCGTAAACGTTTCACTCTCTAAAATGTTTTGTAACTCTTTGTCTCCGAGTGGAATTCAGAGTCCATACTTGAGGCTACCTCAGTGAATGAAGACTTTAGACTTTTACCTCATTAATAATTTGACATATAAGGCATTCCCAGAACTTGAAAAACGAAGAATTTTCTTCTTTGAATTGTATATATTTGGGTAGACATTGGTTTCGCCGCCTGACTACTCTTACGTTAATAAATGTCCCTTAGCTAGCGGCTATCTGAAAACTTTCAAAATGATTTCAGAGTCGATACTTGAGGCTTCCTTGACCAAAGGAGATATTAGAATTTTACATCATTACTAATTTGACCAATGCGCCTGAGGATTTTAAACCGTTCTCAAAGTCTGAGAAGCCCAGCTTGAAGTTTCCTAAGCCAAGGAAGATATTAGAATGTTAAAGCTTTCCTAAGGATTTTAAGGCATCCCAGTGATTGAGTGCGATTTTAAATACCATACCAATACGATTTTTATCTTCATTATCTAAAACCAATGCTTTGGTGAAATAGAACCGAGAGCCTAACCCCCTACGGTGTTGTTAAAGCGAAATTCTAGATTAACAAGGAGTTAATCTCTATAGTCACTCAAATATCCTTTAGCGCCGGAGAGTAATAAAAGTTAATACCACAGTCGTATAGTTTACAGTTTATTTCGTTTTTATGGCCGCCATCATTCCTTTATTGCGTTTCATTATGAATTTATATTTTAAGTAAATCTCTTTCGCGCACGGATGACCTGCAGCTCTACAAAATACCGATTTTACGATTGTCCCCTCAATGTAGGTCAGATCTACGTTTTCCTTTATCGGCGCTTTTTGAAAATACCGCTTGGCTTGTTGAGATTGTTGTTACAAAACGTTTTTTGATGTCCTGTTTACTTTTTTGTTGTCGTTTTTCAAAAATATCAATTTTCTGAAGGCCTAGGTACTGGGTTATTCGTTATATTTTGACACCCACCTACAAAATCGTAGTCTTTTTTTTTATTTCAAAAACAAACAGCTTACTGACATTTCGTTTGGCCGTTTTTGAGTTTAAAAATAATTATCATTCGAAAATGGTCAAGTCGGCCTTGAAACAATGTTCCACTTTTGACGACTAATCTAAACTAAAGATCTGCAGCGTAAGTTAAACAACTTAAGACATTTCAAATGGGTTATACTGAATTAATGCTAAAGATTTTCTATAGGGCAGAAATCGAATGATAATTATTTTTAAACTCAAATATCTCAAAAACGGCCAAACGAAATGTCAATAAACTATATGGTTTTGAAACGAAACAGGCAAACAAGATAGCATTTAAAAATCATTTTGACAGCTTAAGATCGTCGTTTGTCTTTTCTGACATATGCGTGAAATAATTAATCAAAAATCTTCAAACTCTTGTGTTTACGCATTTTTTTTTCTATCTTTGAAAATTAACCCTGCAGGTGGGTTCAAAATATAACGATTCACCCTGTACCCTTATCTTCAATAAAGTCCGTGCCAGTCTTTGTGAATAATATTAATACATAGACTTTGGAGTTTGGTGAGCAGGTGCATCAATTATATACGCGTTAAGACGTCTTAATATTTTCTTTCCTTTGTTGCAGCGACTTTTATCAGTGCCTTTTGTGGAAGTTTTGCGACGCTCGCGTCGTACAGTGTGATTTTCGGCTTCACCATTGGGGCCTACGTGGGCCTTACGTCGGTAATTTTGGTCGACCTGCTCGGTCTCGAAAAGCTCACCAACGCGTTCGGACTCCTGCTGCTGTTCCAGGGCATCGCGTCTCTGATCGGGCCGCCCCTTGCAGGTAACATGTACATCACATTCTAAACACAATCCTGTTTCGATAGTGGGGCGGGTACAACTAAAGTTGGTGAAAAAGTCACAACTCGGAATTGATCATTTTACATTTTTAAAAGCAATAGCCAATGTAAAACAATGTACAATAACTATTTCTAGTAACAAATCCTAAATGTAAGTTTACCATCAAATAAAACACCCAAGTCACTGACTACAGTTTCGATAGTGTAGATTATCGTTGTACCGGGTGGCCCTTTGCCAAAGGACACCGGCCGTATCTCATCAATCGTTAGTCCTACAACTTTAACTCTAGTAGAAAATATAAGTATCCCACGTCACGTCTGTCGTCTATGGTACGGTAGAAAAATATCTTTAATAAACACATTTTTATTTAAATCTCAAAGGGAAACAAAGATGCCGTTTCCACCACTTGCAGTGTTTTTTTTTCGCTCTTTCAGTATATTTAAAATTTTCGAGAAAATCATAAAAATACCCGTTCTTGGCATGAAGCGCCTCCCACCGACTCGTAAAATAATTAATATCGTGATAATGACATCCCAGTCGAAGCTCCTATAAACATCCTATAAACATCACTACACCCTAAAATGGCAGCTTGTGCAACACCAGCGGTATGGACAGGTGCATTATCGTGCAAAAGACGCACGCCTCTGGTCAGTTTTCCTCGAAGTTTTACATGTATGCAGTCTCGCAATTTATGTAATAATGTTGCGTAAAATTTGCCATTGACAGATTTTCTTTAAAATCAATCAAAAGAATTCCTTCACAATCCTTTTTTGTTGACTGGCAGACTCTGAATTTTCTTGGAGGTGCTTCACCCTTACGACGCCACTCCATTGATTCTTTTTTCGGTAGAGGGTCATAATAGAGAACCATAGTTTCATCTCCCGTCACAATAGTTTCTATCACGGGCTTCGGTTCCGACCCACAGAGTTAAAAAAAAAGACCGCGCACACTCGACACGGCGTTGTTCTTGAATAGCCGAAAGGTTTTCAGGAACCCATCTTGCACTAACCTTATGCATACCTAAATGATCATTTAGGATTCGACGAACACTTGTATCAGTAAACTGAGGAATTTCTGAGATTTCCTTGACCTTTAAACGTCGATCACTCAACACCACCTCTTCCACAATCGCAACAATATCTTCCGTTATGACCTCCACTGGTCGACCAGTTCTTGAAGCATCTTCAAGCGATTCCTGCCCCATTCGAAACCGTTTTGCCCATTCTTTCACTACACGAAGGAGAACTTTGGCCGTACACACCATCCAGCCTTTCTTTAATAATTGTAGGTGCCAAATCTTCTTTTGTCAAAAACTTTATGACTCCTCTATACTCAATTTGCGTTATTTGCGACTTATTGTCAATAAAAAACTATTTGAAGCAAGACTTCAATTTTTTTTTGGCAGCCTACTAAAATATGCATTTAAAATAAGACAACGTTTTATCGTGACACTGGAGCTGCATCTATGTCAGGCCGGGAAATTTTGGCGCTAACCTCGTACGACGCGTACCTTGGGAAGAATAATTCAAACGTAAGCTGGTGCACAGTATAGAAATACATCGTTCTATTTCTCCCAGGCGGACTATTCGACCTAACCCAATCCTACGATCCGGGATTCTGCTTGGCGGGCGTGACCATATGCCTGAGCGGTCTGGTACTCTTCGCGATACCGCCGATGCAGAGGTGGCGAGCGAACAAGGCGAGACGGACGCCGATGGTGGTCGAGGAGCTATAGCGATTGTTGCCCGCCCCTACGGGCCCTGACAGACTGTACAGCAGTGTTTGACGGGAGTGTTTGGGAACGTATCCAGTGCGTCGGTGTGGTGGCGCCATCTGCCTGCGCGCTAGCGAACTAGTTCAATTGACGTTAATTTTAGGTTATAATCGATTGACTGTATTTAGTTTTTTTTTTTAATAATCGACGCATCAGTGCGCCCGTGTCTGTTTGGAAACTACGAATTGTCGATCGAAAATTTCAAAAATTTTTGACAGATTGACAGTTTTTTTTATAGGTATACCAACTTACATTATGTACCAATGTAAACATTATCAATTCTTGGTAGATATTTTTTATCTTATCTCTATTTTATTTTTCAGTGACGACCATTTTTGGATTCTTTTTCAATACTTAGCGAAATAATATACTTAAATTTTACAAATAGAAAACACCGTATGAAATTTGAAATAACTTAAAGTAAAAATAAACAACCCGGCAAATTTTTGAAATTTACTGTTTTTGGCATTTTCGATCTAAAACTTGACGTACATAAATGAAATTAACATTTCTTATATATACTTTTTCTCCATGTCTGAAAATGATAATAGAAAAAACCTGACCTAAAATATTTTACTTGCCTCTTCTCATCCAACGGTTAACATAAAATCATTGTCTTTCATTTACATATTTTGTGATTATCAAAGTAGGCCAGGAATTATATAAAAATCGTTGGGCGAACGTCCGGAAGAACGTGAGTTCATCGGAAAAAGAAGAAGAATCTCTAAAAGTCTCTACCAGTAGCAATGTTTTTTTTGTTTGGATGAGAAATTTACTCCTTTAGAGTAGGCATTAAAAACCACTTTGTTTGTCCAATTTTTGGACATAGTAAGGTTCCTCCCAAATGGGCAACTTCAGACATGAATTAATGTAAACCTAACCTCAACAATTGATTCTACTCTTGTCACGATCGAATTTAGCTAAGTCTCTACTTGTCTTGCCTTGCTCTGTCGTATTCTCGCAGTTACTAAGGAAATGTTTTGCCGCCAACTAGATTAAAATGGAAAATTTTGGCACCTATGAATCAATTAGCTTTGGTTAGTTTGATACTTTAAGAATGGAACCCCCAACGCATACCATGACGTCATAATGATACAATGGATTTCTTCCAGTCGCATCGGTCATTTTTATTTAGTATTTAGGCTAAGTTAACCAGGGACGTAGTCATTTGTTATACTAACTGCTGTGATATAACCATATACATAGTTTATTTTTAACGTTGTATGAGTATAAAAATGACGGCGGGGCGGTAAGGGGCGATTTTCCCAAAAAAGTGATAGCCTTCGACGCAAAATTAGCGACCAAGATGACGATACGCGCCATTTTCTTGGGACGTTTAACGCTGGACAATCTTTGAAACGCACCGGTATTGTATAACGCTTGAAACCAAAACCAATCTCTTCACAGTCGTGTAGATTCACAAGATAATAGTAAGTAACTTATTTCGTATAATGTTTATCGTAATTTCTAAAATTGTAATGTTCAGGGTGCCTTTAAAAGGGCCAAAATTGGATGAATTCGGAGTGTAATAATTTTGTTGTGACCACTGCATTTAACTGTTGGAGCGAAGTAAGTCGAGGTTAAGTCGAAGTGTCAGGAATTTGGAGACACCCCGTACATAATAGTTCGACGGATATCACGAGAGAGCAGCGTATTAAATGTAATTATCTGATATCACGAGAAAATTTTATATTCTTGATAAACATATATTTACAATTTGAATCCCCTCCTTTAATCCATTGACTGATGTTTGACGATTCTTTAATTAATATTTACTACGTTAGTAATACAAATATACTCGATTTAAACAAAACGGACTACTTTTATTGTCCCTCGTACACATCGATTACAATTTCCAAAATCACCAAGCCCGTTTTAATTCCTGCGGCGCCGTGACGTCGAACCTGAGGATGTCGGCTGCTTCCTCCAAATACGTGCTGATATTTGCGTCCTGCAAATTACTGCTGATGTAAATGGGAAACAAAAATTATTAAAACAAAACGAAAGGAATTAAAATGATAATCGGAGTGAGGATACTTACCAAATAAAATCGGCACATAAAATATAACAGACAACAAAACAAACCTCTAAGAAGAAAAAACAGAATCACATCACATCAAAGAGAAAAAAAAAATGATTTCAATAACGCCGCCAAACGCGAGAAATAATTTTCCACTAAAATATAAATAAATTCAATACCAAAACAAATACAAATCGTGCGATACATACTAAGCAGAATTATAATGTGCATACAAAAGAAAATTTTAGTTTAGTTAGTTTTGTATTTAGTCAACTAACCAAAACTTACCCTATCGATTTTTTCGTCGCGTTTATCCAACTCTCTAAGGCAGCAAAACAGCTCGTACAACAGCAACCCTCTCATCTTGACCCTTCCGAGGCGCAGCCGCGCAAGCAACAGCAGCAAGTCGTCGCAGAGGCGGACTTTAAAATTCAGAAGCTCGACGGTCAATTCTGCACGCGCAAATTTCAGTCATTCGAGTCGACCGTAGAAATCCGAAAATACCTTGCAACGTGTACGGACTTTTGTGTCCCAAAATCCACACGATTTTGTACTTTAACTCCGTCGACACTTGGCTATAGGTAGGCACGACCGACTTCAACTTGCCGTTCAAGAACCTAGTCATCACGTCAAAGTTGTTGGCGTCCATACCTCTCAACACGGCGCCTACAAAGAAGATTAAGTCTTGGATGGCTTGGCGTGACGTCAGAGTTGTGCGCATTTCAGCGGTATGGTCGTCGAACTCCCGTAAGCACTCTACTGAAGAGTGATACCCCAACTAATTTATATTGATTTTGGTGTATTGCCTATTGAGTTTGGTTACTTTTCGTTGATATTAAAGACAAATACTCAGAATAACAACTCTACATACCCCATAATTTTATTATTACATTTTATAATTATACCCCATAGAATTCATATGGGTGTCAAGTAAAAGGGTTTGTAGCAAGGCAATGAGAGAAGTTAAAATATACCTGCAAGAAGAAATAAAAACAGCGGATTGTGACCAATGGAGTAAGTGCGTCGAAAATGCGAACCCTAGACCCTTTAAAGGACAAAGCATACAGAACACCCACTGAAAAAAAATTACATGCTATAAAGTAAGATTTTAACAATCATTTAAAAAATGTATAACCGCCTTCGTGAAATATTTAGCTGAAAACCGATAAAAAAAAAATAAAAAAAGTATTTCCCTAAAAAACGAAGAAGTCTGGTTTGGTTTTGATAATACGAAAAATTGAAAGATCAGTTTTTTTTATCTACATAAATTACCAAGAGATAATCCTAATCCAGTTGGCGTAGCATCTGATTCCGTTAAACAAAGCGCTATACCCTATACTATCAAGGAAAAGATTTGCGATAAAAAAATTATAAGCATAGTGACCAAAACAAAATACTGGTCGAAAAATCCATTTAATTTATTATGTTGTTGTTTGTTCGTCGCTTTTAATTGTAGGGTATGAAAAAAGGCGGAGGCGAAGGGAGTAGAGTATGGTAGAGCAGATATTTATTCACTAACACCGATTTAACAAAGGAAGGCTTCGTCAGGAAAGATGTCTGACATGTCTATTTTTTTTTAATTATAAAAAAGCCAAAGTGTGACACAGAATACAAGCTGTTTCTATTTTTATCTGCAAATCCGAGACAACGTTCATGCCCCTCCTCAAGCTCAGCCCCCAGTGATTTCTAAATAGATAAATAAATTTCTAAAAAAGCATGACAGGACTAAATTAACGACTAAGGGCTTCTATAGATATAAAAAGCTTACCCAACATGGAGAGGGTTTCCCCAGCCTCCCGCCCCGTGACGAAACGCTTGCATTGTTGACAGCGCCATCTGCTGTTTGCCTTGTGAGGGTTCACGGGAATCACGCTGCCCCCGCACTGCTTGCAAAGCACTGCCCCCATGTAAGTACCGAACTCCGTAGGATCTTCGCATCTGTCGCACTTGCACACGAAATGTTTGGTCCTGCGCAGGTGATAAAGCCTGGTGACGCTTGCCCAGATGATCCTCGTGTACGAGTGAAAGATCTCCCCGTTTTTGGGAATAAACGCGGCCGCTCTGGTAATCATGCGGTGATTTTTGTCGAACACGTGCATCGTGTTGGGCACGCACGAATGATTCGCCAGACTTCCCAGGGGATAGAGACCTGGAATACAATTTAAAATCGAGTCACAAAATGTAAAGGTAATATCGTAAAGTTTAGATGACAGTTAGAAAATTATTGTTATGAAATACTGCCACTAAATTTTACACTTTTTAGTTAAAGAAAAACTATAGAAAATAATAGAACTTTAACCCAGGCAACACACAATAACTTATATTGAACCTAATATTACTGTCAGAGGGGACTAGATCGTTACAAAATTAATACTTTCGTATTTGAATTCTTCTTCTTCTTTATAGTTGCCGAAGGGCCAACGCTCATAACTCGAACGGTCCGAGGTATACAAAAACGAATACTTATCAATTTTTTTACCTCTGAGACTATTGGTCTGCCGATCGTCGTCTTCATCGTCACGCGTAGCGACTTCGAACGCATTCGCGTCCAACACGCAACACACGAATCTCATAAATTTCTCCTGATCGTCGTCAAACTCGAACGACAACTTCTTCAACGCGTCCACTTCCCTACCGTGGTCGCCCCCGCCGTGAGCCTCTAGACACGAGGTCACGGCCTCCTTGTCCTCGTCGTCAAGAAGCAGCGCCTTGATCGGGGTGCAATTCTCAAATAACTCCCGCGATATCGACCCTTCGTTCACGTCTTTACAATATCTCAAGATTATTTCGCAGAGTTCGCGATGCTCATTTTGACACTCTTCCGAGCACACGGGCAAGCCGCAGTTATTCTTGCACCCTCTCAGCTCTTTTTTGCCCCAGCAGCCGATGCATATCAGGGGACAATTGGGCAAACATCTCGGGCCCAATATGACCGGCGAATCGCGAAATATTTCTTCACCTACGTCGACGTCTCGCGTGACGAAGACGCCGTATCCTCCGACGTCCGACCTGCGTATTTCCCAAGGCTGGTTTTCGTAACAGACGCCGCGTGTCTTCAAGTAAGAACGTACGGCGGAGTTCAAACGGCTCTCGGATCGTCTCGCGAGTGTCATCTCTCGGTAATCGCCCGATGATGTATGGCCCGTGTCCGATTTATTTTCGTGCGTGAGTAGTAGAAAAAAAAACGCTAATTGTTTCCGTGACACATTTCGAGTGCGACTAATTAGTGCGTCAGGAATTTTGGCACCGCTCGCGTAGGTGAGAATTCGAAACCGGCGCTCTTTGGATACTTTAAAAAACAACATACAACCGGTTGATTTGACATAGTTTTAATCTAATTAAACTGACAATCCCTTGGGCAATTTAAGAAATAGCTAGACAATGTGTAACCCATAAAAGGTCAATCTTGCAAATATTATTGGATTCTTTTGTTAACGGTATTCGACAAATATCCACGCAAACACGAACCTGTATTCAATGCCAGCGACATTTATGTTCTCTGGTGAATTCTCAACAGATGTCGGTAATGGGCGATTGTCCTTAGCCGTCCACTCAACATTGCAAAAAGATATCCGTGGCATTTAGATTCTCTTCCGTTTTGGCCGAATGCCCTTAGTCAATGGTTTTAAACTTAGAATTAAATACCCGAGGAATCTTGAAAAGTCACCGACTAATCCTAGCAACGTTGGCTACATGAAATAAAGAATGTAATAATTCCGGTGACAACTAAAATTCGTTCCATGGATTCTCGTCAAGGTTAATATTTACCAGTTGTAAATTTCATGGGCTGTTTGGGGTTTGTAGCCAAGCAACGCGATCAAACTAATTATTAATAACACGTAAATATGGTACGCACTAGTTCCGTCGTGCTATTAACAGTAAGGTACGTTTCGAGAATTATCGGTGAAGATGTCTAAACTAGTCAAGCGGAAAATAACCGTGAACGCAGCCAAAAATAAAACGGCGAAAACGCGGCCGAGTGTTTTCGAACGTCTCGGGATAAAGGCTGGCACCCCGAAGGAATACTGTCACCCTTGGGCTCAGACAGGCTCGTGTCCTTACGGCAAAGGTTGCAAGTATTCCGCGACTCACACGCTGATCAGCCCTTCCAAGCAGAGAGCCGCGAAAAACCAAACCGAAGTGAAACGCCGACATGTAAAGGAGGCCCATAAACCGAGACCTATCGTCGCGGGCGAAGCAGAAGAATGGGATCAGTGGGATCCGGAGGAATTGGAAGATGCCGATGCGGATGATTTGGAAAAGAAACGGCAAGAGATACAGAGAGAATTGGAATTGCAAATGAAAATGGAGCACAGGGCGAGAAAAAAGGAGAAAAAGGCAAAGAAAGATAGCAGCCCTTCGAGCGAGTCGTGCACCTCTTCTAGCGAATCGTCGAGCAGCAGCGAAGAGACAAGCACGAGCAGTTCGAGCTCCGACGAGGTGAAGCACAAGAAAGTGAAAAAGTTGAAGGTGAAACGGGCGAGCTCGTCGTCGTCCGAAGACCGCAGGAAACACAAAGGGAAGAAACCGCACGCTTCCAAGTCACTGACCAGGGAGAAATCTAAAAAAACGAAACTGCCCCCTAAAGCCAAGTCCCCTTCACCGGTGCGCGTACGGAAGAAGTCCGAGACGCCCCCTATAAAAGCCAAAGCGGCGACGCGGAAGCCGAGTCCCGAGATGAAGTCTCCGAGGCCCCAGAGTCGAACCAGCGATCGCAAAGAGAAATACAGGACGCCGTCTCCGAAAGCGGCTCGCGAGAAGGAGCGAGAACGCGAAAAGGAGAAGGAACGCGAACGGGAGAGAGAGAAAGAGCGGGAACGCGAGAAAGAGAGAGAGAAGGAGAAGGAACGGGAGAGGGAGAAAGAGAGGGAGCGCGAACGGGAGAGGGCGAAACAGAGGGAGAGGGAGCGCGAACGCGAGAGGGAGAGGGACAAAAAGAAAGATACGCGGTCGCCGAAGAGAGAGGTTAGGAAAGATTTTAAGAGGCGCGATTCGCCGGAATCTACGCATTCGAGGGATAAAAAAAGTTCTCCAAATAGATCCAAAGGGGGAGGAAGTGTTTCGAGGAGGGAATACAAGAGTCCGGCTAAAGACGATAGGCGTGGTGATAAAAGGGACGACAGGGATAGGTTTAGGGGCAAAGATAGATCGCAAGACAAGGGCCGGCAAGATAGGCGCGATTCCAGGGACAGGGAAAGGGATCGAGACAGGGAGCGCCGGTTGGCCAGGGAGGAGAGGGAAGCTGCTAGGGAGAAGGAAAGGGAGGAAGCTCTGGCGAGATCCCAGGAGAGGCAGAAAGAGAGGGAGAGGCAACGGGAATTGGCAAAGAAAGAAGAAGAGAGGAGGAACAGAGACAGGGGTCGGAGGGAAGATAGGGGTTTGGATAAACCCAAAGGTAAGATATTATGAAAGAGGGGCTCCTTTGTTACGAAATTTAAGCGCGTAGCTTCGACGTTTGATCTTTGTTTACTGTATAATGACGTCGTGGTCCAAAGTTGTCGGGCACACGCTCTGTTTGTAATCGGCAGGCGATAGAATTGAAAGACTTTTGCCTCTACCCGAAGATCGCGTCCCGCCAAGTCGCAGGGGCCACTCCGGCGAACGGGACCGCGGCGGCGAAAGGCGCAACAGGGACCGCTCGATCGACAACCGCAATTCCTCCAGGAAAAGTCCCGGAGGACGGGATCGGGCGGCGGATAGGGACCTTCACGATCGCAACTACGACAGAAGTTACGAGAGGGAGCGGGACGCCGATCATGACAGAGATAGGGATTACCTGGGCGCGCGTCTGCGCGATGATAGGAGGTTATAAAAACAACAAACCATCACCTCCCAGTTCATTCTTGGTCCTTTCATATTTTCTGCGGAAAAAACCCAATGAAATCGTAACGAGATGTTGTATGGGTCACGCGATTTAAAGCACCAATAGGCGTCACGCGATTGAAATGACCAATAATGAGATGTGACTCTCTGGCTTTCATTTAGCATCTTCTTTGATGGAGCTATGTTGGCTTGAAATGACATGTTCTCTATATATAAACCCACTTAGTCCTTTGTTAGCCGAGATTTTTATGGATAATTTGGAAAATATCATACTAGAACGTCCTTTAAGTAAAAGTTTTTTATGGCGGTATAGATATGTGGACGATGTCTTTGTCTGAAGACCAGTGAGTCTTCATTCATTTGTTTGAAAGACATTACCCTCAATTTATCATTTTTTTGGTTAGTTTTAAGGTAACACTGGATTTGCAATGTTTTCTATTTACTGTGTTTGTAATCGTCCACCTCCACTATTGGACAATTTTAACAGAGTATAGATTGGGCACCTAAAACTACTTTCAATAGGTTGTGTAAAAGGCTGCAAATGTTTTAGCTTAGGTGAATAACTCATTTACCTACTTAAAAAAATGTACTCTTTAACGAAAGTTACCGTTATAATAACAAAGAAAGTTTCACGGAATTCAACAAACTTTTAGACATATCTTGCCAAAGTATTAAGATTTCTTCTACATAAGTTTTTATATCATACAGTAAAATTGTCTTTAAACAATTGTTCTGTAGAAAGTTATGTTCACATCACTAAATGCTATAAATAATCATTCACCTCATACAAGTCAAAATAAAAGACTGGCTTGCTCAGACAACTTTCTGGAGTTCTATATACAGGTTATTCTTGTGTTTAATGTCTTAAAAACCCTTTCGCTACTCCGTTCTTTGCATTGGCACCAATATTCTACAATTCAAACAGTATCTCATTGTTTTCAGCAAGACTAAAGCCGTCATTGATTGATCTGAAATATATTACAGTTTATCAATGAGTCGGGCACTTTTACTATTTACTGCGTTTGCAGCCAAGCTTGCTTTAAGCTTGTAGGTGCTGTATTTGACTTGGAGGTCACCTTGAAAGAAAAGTGGTTCCATTTATGTCGCTCACAAACTCCTTATGTGATTTTTTCGAGTTATTCGTTAAAAGCAAAATGTTTTCTTTCTTTGCTGTGCAGATTGAGTCATATAAGCCGGGTTAGATATACCGTTGCACTCAAATTTTGCATCTATGCATATATAAAGAAAAAAATTTAAATCATATTACGACGAGAGATCGACAAAGACAGACACACGTCGAGGGCGGAGCTTGACTGTCATTTAGCATCTCCTCTTCTATGCGGTACACATATTATAGCTACCGAATGTCTCTTTTCAACATTTTCCAACATGAAGCGTTCTCTATATGTCTAGTAACTATTGGGACTCAAGACAAACTAGAAGGTCACTTTGGTCGGTAATTGAGAATTTCCTCTTATTCTATGGTGTACCCGTATAACTACCGAATGTCCATTCTCAAAAAATTTTTATGTTAGGTTCAAATAGTTCTATGTTATCAATATGGCAGAGTATCTATATATTTTATCGCTATTTGGGTGAACATAAGCCGGAAGGTCCCGCTAGTTGTGCAATTTGTTTAATTAAATTTTGTCATAATTTAAGTGATAAGTGATTTATAACACTAGTTTTGCAGTTGCAACTGAATTTTTATACAATTTTGACAGACGTTTGTTCTCTTGAGTATACATTGTAAGGAAAGTTGCAGTTATAATAACAAGGAAGGTTTTATTTATATTTTTTATCAATGTAGAAAAAGCCAGACGCGTCGAGTTAGGAGCTTAGAGTGTCCCTTCTAGTGGTGTTAAAACTTCGCGTCACGCCATTTCTCGCGTTTAGATTGGACGACAAAGAGTACAACGGCCCGTACGGCAGGGCTCGTCACGAGGACCGACGTTACCTGGACCTGGAGGACCACTACAACGAAAGCTCCCGAGACGAGAGGTTGCCGGCCCTGGACGCCCGGGACTACGTCGACTTAGACCGCAGGTCTAGACGGGAACTGTGGGACCTGCGCAACGAAAGGATCGACTTGGACCGCGAGCTGGACCACCGTGGAAGGTACGTGGGCGTCGTATCGAGACTATCCGGTCCCGTAAAGGGACGCGATTGGTTAGAATCGGATTACAACGAACACGATTGGGACAGGACGGGCAGACGTCCCCCCGATTGGGAGCCTCAGGACGGTTGGGACGCTATCGAACACAAGCACGTGGTGAACGAGGACGAGTGGCGTCACTTTAACCGAAGCTTGGACAGTTGGCCGGCGTCGGAGGACCGGAGGAGGTGGTCGGGCGACTGGAGGGACAAGTCGAGGCCGAGGAGCGCGGCCTCGCACTCGCTCGAACACGCCAACGGTAAGGGTAAGTGCACGGCAGTGACAAAAATTAACGTTAACAACGGAAAATTGAAAAAATAAAAATAAGTCATTAACATCAAAAACACAACAACACAAACAAATACGTCAGCAGCCAGCATTTGGTAACTGGATTTAATTTTAATTTAATTTTTTAATTTTAATTAATTGGATCTCTAGTTCGTGAAGTCAGAGAAGACAACAAAAGAATTGTCCTACATAACAAAAAAAAAACTATAGGCAATGTCTTTTCTCATCTAAAAGATTCAACTCATAATCTGGAAACATATATAATACTTTAATCTACCCTTGGTGAATGGGCTTAATAGATCTCTCGTGAACTGAGACAAAACAACAGAAGGAAGGATTATACTATATAGCAAAAAACTTTGAGCAATCTTTTTTCTCGTGTAAAATATTTAACTCTTAATCTGGAAAAATCGTGTTTTCGTCAACTCAGACAAGAAAGCAAAAAAACTTCAGTCTGTTTTCCCATCTAGAAGATCGATCTCCTAATTTGGAAAAATCTGAAAGAAGAGTTACTTGGTTTAGCTACTCACAAGCTTAAACATAAACATAAAAATGATCACAATGTTTGTTTGAATCAGCTTTCTACTGACCGAAAGTCCAAACCCAATTCCCCTAAATTCCTACGTAGAAAAGATACCCCAAAGAAACTTCCAATAGATACTACATTTTTCTATTTTGTCTTCTTTTGTTGCCTCGATTGATTCTTCGTCGCTGACTTTTATTTTTATTTTAACTTTCTAATTTTCTGTATTCAACCCCATTCTGGTATTTTTGGTTGGTCAGAAATCTAATGTTTAATTTATTGTCCTAAACCCGATCGTTACCACTTAAATTAGACAATAATATCTCCTAAGTAAAGTAATAATTGCGGATCGATTGTACGAGTATTTTCGGTAGACGCGGGCGCAGAAGCCAGACGGAAAGAGCCGAGCCCCGCAGCTTCGGCCCGTTCGGAAGTCCCGCCCCCTCGCGATGCCGACCCGAAGCAGGCGGCGCCGACCACGGCGGATGCGGCCGAACCGCCTCCGGCCACCCCAAAACGTGCCGCCGAGGAACCGGCAGAGGGCGCGGGAGACGCCAAGAAGGCGTGTCTGAAGCCGGACGCCGCCGCCGCCGCCGCCCCGCCCCCGGTCCTAGAGGACGACCTCAGCGAAATCAGCGACGACGCCGACGAAATACTCAATAGGGTCGAGGTACGTTATTCGGTGGTCAAAATTTAAAATTGAAAATATTTTGAGTGTCTTCCTCCTATTATTACTTTATTTTTATTTATACATGCCTGTTTTATCGATCATGGTACAAACTCAAAGAGGTGGCAGAGGACGTCACTTCTATAATGGTAATATTTATACCGATTCGGTTTCTACATAGTTACTACAGTGGGGATAGCAATGTGGTTTAAACGATAGTATTGTTTTATCGTTTATTTATTGTTAAACACGTCACCCAACTATTTCCATTACTATTCGCTACTACTTCCGTTGATAATCTATATAACGTTTTTATTTCTACCCGTCGATTATTTATATCTGCGCGCTCGGGCTTCTCTTTCCGACCGACCGACTATTGCAGGTTGATTGATAGCGTATTTAAGTATTCATCGAGAATTTTTCTTTTCCTTAACTTAGGTATAAATGAAGAACAAGCGTGTGCCTTCATTGTGGCTCTGTTTCAACCATCAAAAGGATTACTATGATATTTTAGGTGATTCCTTTGAATTTCACCCCTCATCGTGTGTTTCCCTTCAAATCTACCGGTTAAAGGTCTTGTTGTTTCTCGAATATATCCCTTTCCACGTTCACAGGGTATTTGGTAGATACACTTCTCTTGATTCGATGTTTCCGTTTACAATTTGATAATGTTCTGCGCTAAGTCCAACAGTAGCGAGTTCTGTTTGGAAGTGTTGCATCATTCCTCAGTCTGGCCTCGGCAGTGTCTAATAATTCCCGCAACGGCACGACGAAACTAACAAAATTGTCTGAAGGAATGCTTCTAGTCCTTTACAGGAGAAATCTGTTTAAGCCGGTAGTTGCCGAATTCCACGAGTTTGTGGATTTTTGGAAGTCCATAAAAATGTGATGATTTAGCATGATGCATCTGTCTGTCTATGTTTATGCAGTGCTCGATTGATCCTTGCGTCAATCAGTAGAAAGTAGACTGTATTTGTCTTTAGCAAGTATCTCCTCGATTCTTGTACTTTCCTTTTGCAAGTCTTTGATGGTCGCTTATTCTTCTTTGGTCTGGTTGGCACTCCTTTTTTTTTCTATTTCCGGCCTTTCCAGTTGTAATGTCTCAGTGGGGCTTGTAATATCTAATATTGGCGACTTTCCAAGGGCAATGGAGAAGTTTGCACAATATTTCTTGTTCAGTATTGGATAGATTTATTATTATTGGTTTCATCACTTTTTCGGTTCAGGCCTTTGTTTTTCAAATTTGAGCAGCTCCTTCTCGTCATCAGAGTTGAACGCTGTAATCTAGTATATAAGAATAATTGTCTACCACCTTCAAATCAATTTTTTAATACTGTCTACTAGAAGACCAAATTTGGTTTACAAAATTTTTGCTTTTAAAAATCGACCAAAACGTCCGGCAAAAAAAAAAAAAAAATTAATAAAGTCAATATATTTTTTGATCGTAAAGTAGATAAAGTAGTGCAACTTTCCTAGTCAATTTTAACTAAAACCGATAGTTTCGTACTTTCGTTACTGTAGCGGCCCTACTATGGTCAAAAATTGTGATATTTTGAGAAAACACTGCACTCAAAATATCGCATCCGAACTTACTGACGATCTGACAGCGGCCATGTTGGTTGTTGAATGCTGGTGATTATATGGTTTCGTATATTGGCCGCAAGGCGTCGTACGATCGCGCTACGTTTTCTTCCCTCTCCAGGAGGTGCTGGAAGACGCGGGCGAGCGTCCGGGCGCCGCCGTAACGCACGCCGCCGAAGGTGACCACGCCCAGGACCAGAACGCTGCGCAATCGCCTACCAGGTCTCCGGCCGTCAAGTCAGTGCCCAAAGACGAGTCGATCGAGGACGAGAACATCGACCTCGACTTCGAGGAGATCTCCGAGGACGAGTTGGAGGAGGAGTCGAGGTCGAAAGGGATAGGCGACGCATTGGGCGTCGACTGGGCAAGCCTGGTGGCGGAATCGCGACCTAGGACGAAACCCGCGAGCTCTGCAAAGTTGCGTTGGGAACCGCACAACGTCCTCGTCGATCTGGGGATTTCCGTGAGCTACGTCGGCGAAGACACGGTGAAGGATATAATGCGAAGCCACGCGGAGGCGGAGCACAAGGAACAGCAGACGGAGGACGAAGTGGAAGAGACGGTGAAGGTGAAGTCGGAACCCGTGGAAGTGAACGGGATCAAGCGGGAGATTAAGGATGAGCCCGAGGAGGAAACGAAGAACACTGAGGTGGAGGTCGAGCCCGAAGATGTGGTGATATCGAGTCCGGTGGCGGCGATCCAGGTGGCCGATCGGGAAGAACGCCAGATTCGGAAGATCTTGTTTTCGAGCGTAGGCCAGTTTAGAAGGGCGCTGTCGGCCAGGCGCGACTTGATGATACGGCGACACCTTTGCAATCTGCCCTTGAACGATAGTTTCGCGGAAGCGCCGAAACGGCACGATCCGGAACTGCTGAAACTGGCCACGCAGCTCTTCGAGAGGTGTTTGTAGGGTTAGGTAGGGCGTATCGGTTAAATAAACGTATTCACTTGCGCGGGTGTTTTATTTCGTGAAAAGTCAACATTAAATGAGAGAAAGTTATATCTATATAAAAAAAACAAACAATGCGCAATGAGTTAGTTCTATGTTAACTAAGACTAAGACCAGTAAATTGATGAGGATTCATTGATTTGCAGCATCAAAGGTAAGTACTTTTCCAAAAATTTTAACACCCACAACAGATGAGCGGATGAAAGGTAAGGGGCATAACTAATTAGATGAATGGCCAACATACGTCGTTGAGGACAACAGCCAGCAATCCGATACAGACTCGTGTTGTCTATAAAGATTGAAAGGTCCGATCTGTACAAATCAACGAAAGTTACAATCAAAAGAGAATGTTTTAAAGACGCATGGAAGGAATTATGGTCTAACGGTGCCCAAGTTGCTGAAGTATTTGACTAGCGATGATAGCTTCAGAATATATTATTCTAACGTTAGAAGCTTAAAAAGCAAAATTGGTAAGCTAGAGTTCTACTAAGCCCATTAAAATGCCTAGAAAATTAATTAAAAGCCTTACACAGCAGGTTATAATGGGATGACGTTTTAGATATGCTAGAATTGATTGTAGCTTTTCTTTTTACTAGGAATGGTTTTTTTCCGTAGCTCTGAAAAGGGCAGTTGTCCAATATATAAAACGAAAAATAAAAAAGAAAATTTCAACACTAGACTTATTAAGTTTCTAAGTTCAATACTTGCTGTTAGTTCATTTTAATATTTTGAATTGTGCCACTCGCGTAAGAAAAAATGTACGGAACTTTTTAAAATCTGATAAATTGTTCTCGTACCATGAGAAGCAGTCATGTAATGATTTATAACATTGATAATCACTATAACCAGACTCTATTAAACTATAATTCACTCATAAGTGTGAAAATGGGTGAATGATTGCTGCTGTGATGATGTGTGACTGAAGAAAATTTTATATTTTTTTTCTGCATCGCATTTGTTTGTACATCTTTTTTGACGAAACATATGTACCTGGGTACAGAGAAAGAACATGTCACGTTTACTTACTTACGTTACTCACGTTCTTAATAATAATAATGTTCCGCGCGTACTTTTAAATTTCACTCACTTCCACATTGCGCCATTTTCATTCAAAAATTCTTGTATTATCAGCATAGGTAGGACCTGGTTACACATAGTAGGTAGCTATATTACTGCAACGGATAAAACGGGCGCATGGAAAACCAGCTTAAATAATAGAAAACCAACAGCTTGATAAAAGTCTCGTCAATTTGCGCTAAATTTCAAAGCAACTCAATTCAAAATCATTGTTATTCGCCAATCATTTATTCCTAGACAAAATATATTTCTAATTTTTTAATTGGAATTCAAGAATCAAGAATCGAATTATGGTTTCTCGTTTGAATGATCTCAATGCTACTTCGCTTGCTGCGGAAACTTGCAATTGATCTATGATGCAGCGTGTTGTTATTGTTGTTAGGTTATATTTGAAAATGTTTAAATGTGTTATATATTTGTTGAAATGCAGTTAATTAACTCAAACGTAAATGAAACAAATATAAGAGAAAATTTTGGAACAATTGTCTCATATAAATGTATAATTTATAGCACACCATATAAGGTGCGGCGCGCGTCTTATCATCCGATTTCCATTAATCTCTAGTTAATCCTGTCCGCGCCTGTTTTGATAACAAAATGTCTAAACGCCAGCTTTTATTGTTGTCTTCGTCAAAAGTACACGGTTTTGAGTTTTTGGAATACGCTGCCAAAGATATCAATGATTTACTACAAAAGTAAAGCGCGATTTTTCGTAGTGCCCCAAAAAACATTAATCTAAAAGATTTTTAGAAACAATGCGAAGAGTGTTTTGTTTGTGCCTTACGCCTTGCGAGATCATGAGGGGTACCTCAAGAAAGTTGCAAAGCCATTCAACCATTGGGGTGCGTTTTTCAGGTAGCATCGCACATTTATGTAAACATTTTCAAAACTTGCAGGTTATCAGGTAGAAGGAATTCACACGCAGGATCCAAAACATGCCGTTAAAAAAGCTGAGGCTATTTTTATAGGCGGAGGCAATACCTTTAGGCTATTGAAGGCATTATATGATTTGGAAATCATAGAATTAATAAGAAAACGAATATTGCAAGACGGTATTCCATACATAGGAGCTAGTGCTGGTAGGTATACCTTTAATCTCTTCAAAATAGATAAATTTTAGTGTTCAAGGTACAAATGTGGCAACTAGGAGCATACACACAACAAACGACATGCCTATAGTTTACCCTCCAAGTTTCGAAGCCCTGAAATTAATTCCTTTCAATATAAACCCACATTACTTAGACCCGGAGCCGGAATCAAAACATAAGGGTGAAACACGAGAGGAAAGAATCTTGCAGTACCTTGAAGAAGAAGATTCTGCAATGGTGCTGGGGTTGAGAGAAGGGGCCACACTGTTCGTGGATGGAGATACAGCAATACTGAGAGGCATTCATAGAGCTAGGTTATTCCAGAGGCAAGCACATTTTTATTATACACAACAAAGAATAATTTGCTCCCAATAAAAGTTTTTATAGGTTAGGACTAATAAATAATTTTGTTTCAGAAACAAGGAACCACAAGAAATTGAACCCGATTCTGATTTGAGTTACCTGCTCAAGGGATAATGACGAGAATGGTGTTTTACTTGTCACTTTTACGAAATAAAGCGGCCTATTAGAACTTGCTTCATTTATTATATGGATTTGGAAGTTTTCATACCAAACTTACCAATTCAATGTATTGTACTGTGGGTCAGATTACGAGGATCATTCGGCCAGTCTTGTCGATGAATCTCGAAGAATATAGAATCAATAAATGACAAATGAACAACTGGGATCATGAAATTAAACCATAGTTAAACTAGAAGTTTGTATAGTGCAAAGTTTTTTCATATTACATTTACTAAATAAATATTGTTAAAGGGTTTGAAATAAATTTAAAGGCGATCATGGTCCAAACAAACAACTGCTATGTGGTTGTAATAAATCTTATTTGCAAAATTTAGACAAAAGGATAAAACCTTTCCGTTCAGGAAGAGTTCATATAATAATATTATTTTGATAGTGAAATTAGAAGTTTGAACACGTGCGGGTATAAAAAAATTACGATGTATTGTGCTGATCCGTTCCTTTGTAAACCGATGGCTGTTTCAAATTAAAAAGTACTTTAGTTTATTTTTTAATTCCGCACCCGATGGCAATCGACCCCCCACAACCTACGGCAAATCGAATTAGGAGGTCTAACGCCTTACCAACCACGTCATCATCGATCTCAATATTGTAGTTTATTTTACGTCATTCTTCCTCTTTCGCATAAATTTGGGCAAGTGGCTAAAACCATTCGGCCAAGTCAAACGCACGAAATTGATCAAAGTTTTAGTAGTTAAACTAGAAGATTGACACGTGGCGGGTATTAAATGACAACAATGGGTTATTATGGATAAAAATCTATTTTCCAAGCAATATACGAACTGGAATGTAATTAAAACAATGACAAACGCAAGATAAACTTAACATAAAGCTAACACGGTCGTGTACTATAAAAATTACTAAAAAATCGCAATAATTTGGGTAACTCAGAATTTATATACACGCTCGATATTATAATATATTATATAATCTCGTGCTAAGTTGCTCTTCCTCGACTGCAGGTCTAGTAAGAAGATGGCGCCACGCCCCAACCTACCGAAGACGAAGAAAACCTTTATATTTTTCCATTACGATTGAGCGCACAACCTTTGGCATATATTATCGACCCTAATTTTCAAAATACCCAGTACGTCCGACGCTAAAACGTCCACCGTCGTAAACCGACACTTTTGAAAGTTAAAAATGTCCGTTAAAAACCCGATCACCTGTTCCTTGAAATACGCGCAAGTCTCTTTGAGCGAGTCGTCGGATCCGAGAAAACCCCAAGCGAGAAGCGGCGACAGTTGCTCGGAAATGGTGTAGAAATGGGCCATGAAGCCGCACGGAAACTTCAGGCGTCTCCGTTTCGCTTTGAGCACGGACCACACCGCTGTGGTCAGTGCCGTTTCTTTAAAACTGTTTGACAGCCACCGGTTTTGTATGACCGCCATTACCGAGGACGGAGGGCTGTCTAAGTCTTCGAACGCGTCCATCAGGATGTAATCGAGTACGACGTCGTAAAAAGTCAGAGCTTTGACGCCTTTCGTGCTGAGTTCCTCTTCGAGTTCTCGCCAATTTTTTGGCTCTTGGATATATTGCAGCATTTCCTCGTAACCTTAAATTGCAATAGTAATAAAAGAAGAAGGATTAACTTAAATGTGCATAAAAATATTCGCATTTGTTGTATAGGTTATACAACGTGTTATTGAAATGACGTCGTGACAAGGAAAAAATATTTATTAAGATAATTATAGCACTAATTAGCTTTTAATATAAACATTGCAAATCTCATAAGTTAAAAGCATCAAAAAAACAATTTCTGTCATTACTGATGTCAATAAACTTTGGCAAATATTGGTTTAATACGTGCACATATTTAATTATTAGTTTGGAACAAAACTGACGTACAACATTACTAATTTCATAAATTTAAACTGCAAGAAATAGTCATATCCACTACCAAGGAACACAGGTAGCAGAGGCTCGTCAAAGTGACCCCATTGCAGACTCATAAGTGGTCGCCACTGGTCGGTGGTCCGTAAAATCGCAAAAATTATCTCCGAATGTCGTCATAAAATCAATTTAAAACCACGATGGATGAGATTAAAAGAAAAAATTTCAAATTATTTTCAAATATACAAGGCGATTGGAACACCCTGTATATTGGAGGGTTGTTATGGTCTATACCGAATATTTTCGGATTTATGGCCAAAATCATACGGGAGATCCTGTATATTATACTTCCGTTATTATTCTTTTTAATAGAAAGTAATTAAAGCCGCAGTTTCTGTGTGATTTACTTTCGATTTTTCCAACTCCAAAAAGAAAAAACAAATTTAAAAATTGTTATATTTTTCGGCAGTAAAGACCAAACTCTTACTTTAAGTTGACGTAAAAAAGATGCCATTTAAATGACAAAAATAGACGACATCAATTGACGTAAAAAAGACGTCACTTAAATGACAGTACGCCAAATACACTTTCTGCTGACGTATGTCATTCTCGTCATTTGGAACTAGTTAGTGACTACAATGCGCTACCAACCGCTCAAGACCGCACACATTTTCGAACAAAGATACATTAAAAAGTTAAGCTAAGACGACAAGAAGAGCGCGCAATTTACACATTTGTCATAACAAAAATTTAATAAATAGTTGTTGTTCATTTGGGTAGTTTGTTTTGAAGAAGGATGGTTATTAGACCAAAAAATTATTCTACTAGGCCTACCCTCTAAATATTTAGAATATACTTCATTTTAAATGTATAAACTCCTTTAGTATATAAGGTTGATAATACTAATACTAATAAATTATACTAAAAAATGAGTTGTACAAAAAAAATTCTTGCACAATGTAAATAAAAGAAAGACTAAAGAAACAAATGAAGACAAAAAGTTTTTTATAGGAACATCTTTGTTTTAAGAACATTTTAAATTGTTTTATTCGACTTCCACTCAGGGCAAGCTATTGAAATGTGATGCACCTTCAAATTATGTTATTCTTTTGACGTAGGGACAGAAGGGGAGGTTTTAGCTTGCATTGGTGTGATAATGCCATTTTAGGCGAAACATTATTTAATTTTTTTTTGCCAAATGATACTTCGCAAACTCACAAATATCTTGGATTTATGATGTCTGCATAAACATACATTTTTAACTCTGCTTGATTATGATTCGCCCTTTAGAGCGTAGATGGCGCGGCAAGTATTCCTCTGAGAAATAATAATATTAAACTGCACTTCGTTACTGACAACTTAACAGCAATTTTAAACCTGTATTTTCAATATGTAACGAAAGATCGTTTAATACAAGTCAATTTGATTCCTATAGATTTTCTTTGTATTTTAATGTTGATATGTTTGGTGTCATTAACTAATCAACTGTTCAATTTGTTAAATTGTTTATGGTGTACTGTTGATTAGTTTTGTACCATAACAATTTATCTCGCAACAGATTCTATCAAGAGCAACATCAAAATTGCTTTAAGAAATTGGAATATACCATTTACAACGGACTTTTCGGCATAATTTTTAGGCAGTTCATAATTGATACTAAAATTACAACCTCATAAATTTATTTTACAGTATGCTATATTGTCTAGATAGACGAATCTTCAATTTTTTGCAATTACTAAGAACAGGACCTAAAATTGACTCCAGTATCACGATAAAATGTTGTCTTCTTTTAAATATATATCTTAGTAGGCTGCGAAAAAAAAAACTGAATAGTTTTTTATTGACAGAGTTTTAAACAAGACGTGTCCGAAAAAATGTCGCAAATAACGCACTATATATATTTCAAGGTAAATTTGGTGACGTGAGATATGCGCAGCTGCACAGTTCAGGTTTGGTTACTCTAAACATTAAGAACGTCATTTCTAATTACTACTATTAGAGGTTGTTTCGTTAAACAGAGTGTATTCTGTTCAGGACGGAGACTAAAAATCGCTCACCTATCAAAAAATCCTTGGGATCTTTATCGGCGCACAGCATCAGATCGGCGAGCATCTGTCTGCCAGCGTCTGCGAACCATATGTAGTTGGCGGGATCCCTGAGCAGCTGCTGAAACGCCAGCCGAAGGCAGTGCAATTTGGCCAGATACTCCCCGTCCGACCCGCACCGCACCACCTCGGTCCTTAGCGTCCTGCAGGGTATCCCGCCGTTTTCCAGCTGACTTAGAGCTATCTGGTACAATGGGTAAGCTTCCAAGTCGGGGAAGTAGTCTTGGAATTCCTCGAACTCTTTCAAATCTGCCACCTGCGTGTAGGTTAAAATTGCAAAATACATAGGTAACAATCGCAACCACAAAATGCCTTCTAAAGACGTTACGTTAAATTTTACTCCTCACGGAGATTTTAGGATTACTATTTTCTAAAATTTACCAAAGTGGCCGAATAAGCAGATTTCTTGCAATCTTAATCTCCTCAAAAATTATTGCGATTTATAGCTCGACATTAATTTTGTAGTAAAAATATCGTCAATAAGCACAAAAAACAAACAAAAATTCCAATAGAACAAACGTTCCTGTGTTTTAATACATTTTAACGTTTCTATTGTTTAAATTTCAGCAATAGTGACGCAGAAGGGATTTTTTCGCCCATATTCTTAATTTCAAAACTGATTTGCAATTCGCACTATTTTCTTTCAGGGATGATTCCTACGATTGTTTTCCGCGACGTCACGTGGCGAGTGAAAACATAACCTCACTTTCTGTGGCGCGGAAAAAGTAGTAAAATATGTCTGAGTGGGACAATAAATAAAGTACTTGGGCTCGCAAGATCTAAAGGAGATCTTCACGGCTTTCCGACACAACTAGAATATAAATACAGGTAAAGATGTAGAGGAAGAGCTTGAGAGAAACTTCTTTCAACACTAATTTAATTGTTCATGTCTGTGGTTTATTTTAAAGAAAGATGTTTATTAGACTAAAAAAGAATGTTTACAATAGTTATTATACTACACCTATCCCGTAAATATGTAGAATACACTTATATAATATATTAAGGTTGTCATTTTAAATATAAAAAAACTTACCAAATAAAAACACTAAAACCATATTTTATATTATCACACACTAAAAAACAGTTTAAAAAAAAACAAATTGTGTTTGAAAGATGCATTGGTCTTGTCCACTATCCCACACCCCCAGAATATAAATATAGGTTAAGATCATACCTCTTAGCATATAACGAAGGATCATTATCTCAAGCAGGTAAAGGAAGAGGATACGCCTTAACTTAGGCAAGAAGGCGAATCAACAGCATTGTTTAAGGAATTAATGATTTCGCATTTGATGGTCTTGAACATTTGCCACAGGTTGAACGACGAACTAGAGATTGAATTGTCTCAATCCTTGACATCTTGGGATGAAATTTATTCTGGTTCCAGTTCCAACAGTTTTAAGAGATAATCAATACGTTTAATCCCACAGATTCAAGGGATATTTAACCAAATTATTAATTCTTGTATGTATTTAAGGTCAAGCGAAGTTAATAAAAAAATTAAAAGACCAGACAGTTAAGAAAAAACGGAAAATAACGAAAATAAAGATCGTTCATTGGTTTTATTAAATCAGTGTTAGTGAGCTACAAAAAACGAGGTTATGTTTTAACTCTCCGCATGACGTTTCTTTGTATCAAAAACTGACGTAATAAATTTTAATAAAATTAATTTTTTTTTGCGAAATAATAAGTAGTAGAACGCATTTGTTTTTTTTTTTTGCAAACAGATAGGTACATGGACACTTGGCAACTTTAAGATTGTCAATTTTCGAACCTGATCTTGCGCAGATGCGAAACTTTCGCCGCCTGATAGGTCAGCGTCGACGGTTTCGGCCGCTCTGCCGCTATCAGGCCTGAAAAGCACCGACCTCTCGTCTAGAAACAGCATTTCCGAGTTCTCTTGGAGCTCGATCGCCGAGTCCAACAAGAGCTGCAGATCGCGGCAAAATCCCGCCTCCTCAGCGCTGAGCATCGCTGGCGGGCCGCCGCCGTCGCCATCTTTGGACCGGTAGATCGCCAACGCGTCCTCCCAGTACCCGATGCAGGTTTCCAGTGCCTCCATGCCTGTATAATAATAAAAAAATGAAATAATAATAATACTATTAAGGAAGATTTCGAAAATCGGTTTCAGTGGCGTACTTAATTGATTTAAATTGAATTGAATTCGACGACGGCGGCGGACGACGCACTCCATATTATATTAAATATTGAAGACAAATATTTTAAATGCATCTAATGACCTCGGATTTAGTTGGGCCATTTATTTTTCAGAAGCAAGAGGACTTGAACTATGTGCGCAATGTGTAACACGAATCGGATCTAGTATTTTCGAGCATTCCTTGCTCTGTTGAAAGGTACGAGTGCTCTATTGTAACGCCTATAAAACTTCACTAACAACTATTGATTAGCGTATTGATAAGCCTGTATCGTGACTCCATTAAAGAATTTAACTCTAGAAAGGCACATTTTCCTCTAATGTATGTAAACATGTACAGTAAATATTTCAACTTTCTCGGAGCAACGTATGTATTTTATAAAATTAAAAATTTACATTAATTTAAAAATAGTAGGTTGTTTAATTTTAAATTCCTTCCGGGGGACAAAATATTGGCAAACGTTTTATATTTCGGTTATTTATAATTTTAAGAATTTGAAATTTACTCGTTATATACTTTAATGTTTCCTCTATTTAATGATACCAAAAGATCTTATACAAGGTGTATGGTTCTTTGTCGGGAACGGTTTTCGTAGAAGATTGCAATTTTTGAAAAATCATATTTATTTATTATTTAGAATTAAATCGGTGAACAGATACAAGTCTTTGAGAAAAAGAAACAGTTGTATTATAGTTGAAGAACTCTGCTAGTGAATAAAATGACTTATTAAATAAAAGGTTATTCCACATTTTATGAGGAACACGCAATCTTTTCACTAAATTTATCCATATGTGTTCAATACGAGTCGATATTCTAAACGTACCCTTAGTAAACGAAAACATTACGCCACTGCCTCCGTTTCAGAGTCATCTAAGCAGACTTGATTACTATGAAACTACTCTCTGAGTCACCCTTATGTCGCGCAGTATCTCAATTTATGATTTTTTTTTAACGCAGCGGTATAGTCCGCATTGTTTTGACGTAAGCTATATATTATAATATAATTGCAATTTAAAAATGTTAAAGTCAAAATAAAATAACTTTTTATGGAAAATTGTTTTTATTCTGTAGACGAGTACAAATAACTCACAAAAAATATTTCCTGATCTTCCAATGTTCGTTTTTATGTCTGTTTGTTTTTATATGTTGCAAATTTCATATCTGTCACCAAAAAAAATATATTTAACTTTCGAATTAGAGAAATATTTTTGTAACTGTATATTGATGTAGGTTGTGTTATGATCTAATTTTGTAGTAAAATTAATTAATTTCATTTTTATTACTTGGTCTGTCTGCCTTATTTAAATTTGCCGCCACTTAACGCTGGAGTTAGTTCGTCCTGCAGCCCACGTTGGCGCTGGCAACACTCTTCAGGATAAATATTTGAGTGAACGGGCCGTAGGGTCTGGCCTTGATATTGGTCAATTTTAATAGAATCGGCAATGGTCTGGATCAAGTGTATGGTCTGTTCATAGATATAAGAAAGTGGCAAATTGCTTTTGAATGGGATTATCCAAGGGTGGTCATTAAAATACAATGCAATAAGATTATTACCTAAAGTTTCGGAATTTAAATTCAGGTAAAATTGTGGTCCGGAATAGAAAATAATTTTATACCTACCTGTGTTTAATATTCTTTGGTTTGGTATACTACTTAGTTTAAGTTTATTAGTAATCATTCTTATTTCGTGTGTAATACAGGTGTGCGAATTATGCAAAATATGAACGAGTCTAGTGTATCTCAGGAGATGCTCCCGCCCAAATGTAAAAAACACTAAGGAAGTTATAAACAATGTTTATTTGACTCTCATTGAACGTGGTGCCAGCAGACAAGCATCTTTAGAAGAAACGGTCACATTAACGAAAATTCCAACATCAACTGTATGGAAAATTGAGAATAATCCCATTTCAGCGAGGAAAAAAAGAAGCGATGCTGACATTTTCTCGAGTGCAGTGTGTCTACGCTTTTTTGCTGTTGGCCCCTTGTCATAGCAATAATCTTAGACAGAAAGAATGGTAAATATTGGAAAAGTTGTAGGTTTTTGAAAGATCTTTAATTGTAAGAAAAAATGATCCTATATATGTTGTGCAATTTAAGAAAATCGAGATTTTTCAATTTAAAATGATCTAAATTACATACTCCGTGTAATTTTGTGTAAAATATTGGAAAAACCATTAGGTTTCGGTATGTATTATTATTAACACAAAAGTTGAAGAATTATAAAAGGGGTCAAAGACAAAATTTTAAAAATTGTATGTTTTATTAATAACTTTTGTGTTTACCATTTTCTGATAACTTTTAAAATCAACGGAATTATGAACTTTACTAGGTAGGACGAGTCGAGGCACTCTGTATTAGATCGCATTACATTCAGAAAAAAAAACTGGCGTCAAAAATACCCACCTCGAAGATTTCCACGCAAAAAGGGGCACACTCTAGCGATTAACAATTATCACAGTAAGTCTTGCAAATCCAAACCGATACCTACACATTGAAAGTTAAATCGCTATAAATAATGTTGTCTCGTTATCGTGTTCACTGATCGTGGTTAGAGACAGTAATACGTATCGATTGTGAGCGATCGATTTAAGTGATTTGCGTCTCTAATTTACCTACATTTAACCTATAATTCAAGTGGCACCACAGACTACTAAAACCTGATTGCGTCCGTAGTGGCATCAATGTCACAGATCTAAGGTCTATAACTGAGGCCTTCAAAAACTTTATAAAAAAGATGGCCATGCAAATTGGTAAATTTTAATGAAACGTATTTATTTACTTTGCAAACGATGTATTAAAAAATATAAAACGGTGCCCATTTAATTAATATTCGGGGGTATGTATACCAAATTTTGCAGCGTGTTTGTGATGTTGGCTGCATAACGTACATGTCATCCCCAAACTTGACCTTAAAGAAGACAATTCCTTAGAATGTATTTGGCATCTGGGGCAGTAATAGGTGAAAAAAATCCTCAAAGACGCTAACTAGACGACCAAAAATAAAGGTATATAATAACGATAATTATACCAATTTATTCCCGTAGTCGGTAATTTGTTGGCTATTAACCGCGTGACGTGGGTAAAGAATTGAAGATTATCCGTTGTAGACTTTCTCCAAACGCGAAGGAACAGATGATCACGCATTCTCTATTTTAAGAAGACGCGCGGTTTGATAACACAGGGACGGACCCCGCAGATTCCATTCCGCCTAGATTTTCGGTTAACTTTTTCTATCAGGGTAATTTGTTACTTTGGAAATACGAGAAGCCGAAACCAGCTCCAATCCTAAAAACTCCCTTTAAATACTTCTTTAAAATTTTAAATTACTTTTTGACGTAGGTAAGTGTATTCCCCTGACTCGTCTCTGAGCGCGTCGCAACAAGTTAAACGTTTCGAATACTAATTCGGCGTATTCGGTATAAATTTCAAAAGACCATTATGGAATTGCAAGTTTTCTCGAAAAAATCCAGACTGGTCGTTCAACCCGCGACATATTACGCATTCGAATCGCAACGTAAATATTGTAACAAGACGTAAAAACACACAAACCGACTTTAAGGTTGGGCCAATGTTGACGTTTTACTGGATTTCAGTTCTCCTAACAGGGTTAACGTGTCACCGAACGTCTGATTGGAAAATTCCAACAGCAACTTTTTTTTGTTTTTAATGTTAAAAACTGCTCGTTCACAGACAATTGTTTCGACAACACCGTGTCTTTATCAAATGTGTTAATTTATAAAATTCTGCTTTGTTTTGGGGAAAAAGAAACGGGTCTGACGAAATTTAGCATGTTGTAGAGAAGGTGAGGTTGGCAACGCGGGCCACTGACAGTTCAAAGCGGCCATCGTCGTCCGACCGGATATGACGTGTAATAAAACATTCACTTAGCGGCCAACGAAAAACCAAAACGACCTGAATTATTTTATATCTGCATCTAAACGCGAAAAAAACCGAAGTGATTGTAAGTAATGGTACCGTTCGTATATCTCTAGACTACTTTATTCAATAAATATCAGAGGCAATCACCATTACGGGCCAATTGCCCGCTTCCTAATAATAATAGTAACTGATAGTCTATTACGCGAATGCGTAGTAGCCATTGGTATACGCGATATGCGGCCTGCCAGTGCATAAACGATGTTAATATCCGCTTCTGTAATGTTTTATTTTTGCCGATATTGTAATTAAACTCAGATATGAACCAACTATGTGCGCTGGAATCGTGATACGAATGCCACGCCAATGACGTCATTTACAGCGCCATTTTTGCAAATTTTGCAAATTAAAAAAGCATAGTATAGTAAGAGTATTAAATAGCCGACCGTCATTTCTCTATTTGATTAACAGTCAGACTACTAAATAGTCAACTTGGCTTGGCTATTTAATTAAAATTTTATTTTACGGAGTTATTCTCTCCAATTTTTGTTTAATGTTAGAAATTGTCGAGAATTAAATAGTCAATGGCTCGATAGCCCAGCGACTCCCTTCCTTAATTTGTAGAATTGTATACGATTATATACCCAAGCGGAAACCATTTCTATTTTATTGTACGGATATTGGTTCGGCGTCTATTCTCTTTTCTTATTCTATGTTAGAGCCAAGCCAGTTCTACCCCCAAGGATCAAATAGCCAAGGAACAGCAATCATGCAGAAGGCCGCTTCAGCTTAACTCAATAGCCAATCAACTCTCTTTAAATTACATATTGTCACCTAAAAGCATGAAAAACCAAGCTACTAGCCCTTCTTACCTATATTTAACTTCTTTGTTGTTATTTTATATAAGAGAGTACCACAGCCACGGGCTTTTGTTCGTTATATATGTAGTGAATGTTACAGTATTCGAAACAGTCCTCGCTCAGTATTAACTATCCAAGCAACTATCATATCTCTCCCTGTTGCTACGGAGTGCCTCACAGAGTTAAGCCGTAGTTCAATTTCTATTTGCAATCAGAACGTATCAAATATTCAAGCGACAGTCATCCTCCATTTTATCTATTTCATGTTTCTGAGTGCACATAATTGAATAGTCAAGAGACAGTCACCTCTTTTTATTCCCCAGTTCAGGGAAACAAATAGCCAAGCGACCCTTTTCTTCATTAATATCGCTATGCTTAATAATCTATTGTGTTACGGAAGGCCGCTTAATGTTACCGGTTTTCGCCCCAAAGTATTAAATACCCAAGAAGCGGCCCTCTCTGTTTTATTTTACAGAGTGTGAGTTATTTTCTGTAGTGTCAGCTGAAGGTATCACAAATACCCATATCAAATTAAAGTTGCAGAGAATTGAGTGGCCAAGTCACTGCAATCATATCTATATTTTTCAGAGTAACAAATAGCCAAGCGACTCTCTTCTCTATTTCTATTTAATATTACGGAGTGCCCCGTAGGTAACTAAATATCCGAGCCATAGTCATTTCTATTTCTATTTTTTACAGCTGAAAATATAACAAATACCGAAACCAAAGCCATCCTTATATCTATTTAAAGCTACAGAGAATGCAGTCATCTCGATATTTTATTAACATTGGGACTAATAGAACGGTCGTGTGCCGCTCACATAGTTAAATAGCCAAGCGAAAGCCACATATAGCTGTATCATTTCTTTCAGAGACTGCCGGTTCAGAGTAACAAATAGCCAGGCGACAGTTTTTTATTCGGGATACCGGTTCAGAGTACCACACAACCAAGCGTATCTCCGCGCTTCTGACGTAACAAAAAGCAACCCCCGGACTCTACGCTCGGGCCGCGTAGCTTTGGGAGGCTTCGCGTTCGGGCCGGAGTTTCCGCGTCGGAGTCTCCGATGATGACGTGTTCCGGGCCCAATCCGACGGGCGCATATTACCCCCTCCCCGCCGGCGCCGACGACGTTGCCGGTCCTCCCGAGCCGGCGTTTTACGCGGGCTTCAAACCGAACGGGTCAGACTTCGGATGCAATTTGTTAGCGTTTCGCTTTCTTAGCACAACGGATCAATCGTTGGGCGCCGTAACCGTCGCAGTGGTAGTTGGTCGGAACAAGTGGTCGAAGTGGTGCAGTGTGTCCCGTTTTTTTTGTTGGTTAAGTGATTTTCCCCGTCGCATATATAAACAGATTATTTTAGAGGATTTACCGTAGATATTTCTCTTCGCGGCACCACCAAGGGAAAATATACCGAAAGGTAGGGTACCAGGGGGAGGTTTGATACATTTTAAAGGTCGTCTTATCAATTTGCCAGATTTTTTTGGTAGCCACGAAATAATCCAGCGTTTCGTAAGCCTTCATCAGGTTATTGCTTAAACGTCCAGAGTATCTTTCTCTGTTATAAAATTTTGATGTGATTAAGAGATATTTTTTCTTATCCGACTCTTTAAGGGAAACAACACAAATAGAATTAAAAGAAACCCAGTGATAATCAATAAATATGAATGTACAATTTTGAAAACAAAGCGTTCAAACGGAGAGTTTGAGTTTGAGAGTATTGATATATTTTTTCGTAAGGTTCTTCATAATGTGCTAATAAAATTGTGAAAAGGCTCTTAATATGTTCTGAAATACACTTTGTTTTCCTCTTTTTGTCAAGGAAAACAAATTGCCTAAAGACTTATAGAGCAGAAATGGCTAGAGAGAAGAGTATTCAATTATAACAATTCGATATTAAGAAAAATAAACAAATAAGGAAATATCCTCGGAAATATCACCAAAAAAAAAAAGACATGAAATTATTGTTATCGTTAACATAAAAATTGAAAAGGAAACAATTAGAGCAAAATACAAAAAGCCTAAAAAAATAATGATAACAATAAAGACAAAGTAATAGTTTTTTCAATTGGGTTTTTTTGTAGTTAGGGTATTTTTTTGTCTAGTAAAATTTTTATTTGAATCTTCTTTTAACAATTATCAAATTAATGGGAGGGAACAACTTATTAACACAATTAATAGGGACATTAATAAATGTAATACATGTAAACTTTTGGGCAAAATGTTGAAATTGACAATTACTTGAGGAAGACCCGATTCTTTTACCAAAAGCGTGGTTTGATCTAGTTTTTTGTAACATCCTGTATAATATGCTAATAAAATTATGGCATATATCCTGAAGCATTCTTTGTTTTTTGTTTCTTTTCTTTTCATCGAATATAAATTAGAAAAGTTGTTATTTATAATAACTCAATAAAAAAAATAAATTAGTAAATAGTGAAATAGGACAAAAAAAATTCTATCTGAAATGATTGTTATCGCTTAACATATTGTTGTTAAAAAATTATAAATTTTGATTGATTTTTATAATGAAAAAGGGCCAATTAACGCATGCTGTCATTTGATTTTATCCTAGCCTTATATCGTTTTGTCTCTAGACGTAGATTTTTTCTCCAATTATTTTATGAAATAAAAGTTTTGCATGTAAACACTTTCCATGTATTTTATTCTCGGGCCAGTGGCGTAGGGAACGTTATTTGAGGATAATCATCACTTCGCTGTGTACAGTAAAACGCTCATTACGTCGATTTTCCGCGGGCGTAATTAGCGAAATAATTATGTGTTTGTGTGTCGGTCATATTTCGAACGGTACCCGTCTCGAAGATAACCTTTGATACGGCGTGACTTTGAAATATGTTTTTGGGACATGCCGTATACGGGGTGCGTTCGATAAAGCCGGCGCGCAATTTTTCCGACTAAAATCCATAAACGAATTGATATCGAGATTTCAAATGAATTTTTACGACCTTTCCGAACGCGCACACACTCGCGGAATGTTATTGTTGTTGATTAACGTTTTAATTAGCTTCTGACAAAGCCTCTATTTTAGGATCCAATTTGAATAAAATTTAGTTTATTTGTTAAATACGGGGCGCTTCATTTAAATAATAAAAATGTGTCCCAAAATGGTTTAAGATAAACAAATGAAGTTTAGCCCACCCTTGACTTTTATTTTGCTCTCTCTGCTGAAAACTCATATTTACAAAAAAAACTTTTGTCATAAAAAGTTAATCTTCTTTAAAGTAAAAAGATAACCGGTTTAGGAGTTATTTCAGGTTTTAGCAAATAACGCTGTTTGAAAATGTCTTCTTTTTATTTCTGAAAACATTTAAGATGTCCAAATGAAGTTTAGCCCACAAATAAATACCCTTGATTGGACCATAAAAGTTACTACTGATAAAATTTTAATATTTTGTACATGGCAAGTCACATTTATTTCGCTCCCCTTCCTCTCAAAAATTGACATTTAAAAAAATAATTGCCACAAAAAACTAACTGGTTCGAAATAATTAATACCTTAGAGAATAAAGACTGTCTCAGTTTGGTTAATAAAAATATGTCTGACAGTGTCTTCTTCTTTTTATTTCCAAAAAAGTTTCGGATACCTAAATGGAGTTTAGTTCACAAATACCTTTGATTGGACCTTATAAATTACTGCTGACTAAATTTTAATATTTTGTACAGGACTCATCTGTTTTGCTTCCAAACTTCTTTTTATGCGGGCACTTTTATTGTTTTTGGTAAAAGCTATATTTCTTAAACAATTTGCCGTGAAAAAAAAAGAGTTATTTGAGGTTTTACCAATGCTGATTGTAGTAAAAAATATTGTAAATTCGTTGAAACTTACATTTTGCCAGTAATATTTTAATACTTATAACATTCAAAATTGAAAATCCACCCATCACTTACTGATTATTTATTATTATTTGTAACTCTCCTCTAACTTTTGTATGTTGCTAATTAGAAAAAGACTTGTTGTGAGTTGTGAGGTTCTATGTGTAGATTCAATTTTACATACTGACTTATATACAAGGTGGTTCAAAAAAGCATAGCATATCAAAGTTAAATTGGAGGGGTTATCACTTCATAACACAATTTAAAAATACATAACTTGTTGTAGTTATTTTCTCTTTATAGCGAAAATTAGTTAAAAATAAAATAATTAAATGGTTGGGCCATGTTTTTTTATTTAATTGTTGTTGTTCAAAAATGGATAAAAGAATAATAAAATAAATAAAAAATGACAAAAATGCAAATAGGGTTAGAGAACATACTCAAATCAGTGCAAAAGAATCTTTTTTTATGAAATACTATGCGGGGTTTCTAATAAAAAAAAAAACTTTGATATACTATGACTATACTATGACATATTCAACCCTACAACTGTTTCGTTCCCCTTTGTTTGCTAAAATGTAAAATAAAAAAGTTAGAGCTATATATTATAAGAATATTTAAAAAATGGTATTTTTAAAGTGAAGTATTAGATTTAAAAGTTTAAGGTTCTGTGTCAGCGTCAAAAATACACCTAATTCTGAGATGGCTGCAAACTTTGAGGTTATGGTCTTCCGTGGACATAATTTTCTTGTTTAAAATTCAAGTACACATGTATATGAATCTGTGGGTGGATTCTAAATATCCTTCCGCATAAATCGCTCGGCAATAAAAGCGCAGATTATCGAATAGATTATCGACGGACTAGAAAATTGCGAGCGGCTTCGTACGACATGGCGAAGCCGAAGCTTTTAATCCTTTTACGTTATGGACGTAAAGTTTGCCGCATGAGAATAAGATATTTATCGGTACGGCGGTCTAATCTGGTGCGCCATTGTTGTCAACTCGATCACGAAGATCTCGAATTTTTATCGCCTCTTTCCGCCATTTGGGTGGCAATTTTTTTTACAATACAGGGTGTTTTCCAATTGAATGATAATAATGATAAACATATGTCCTAAGCGGCTTAACTTTGGGTCGGTAAAATTTTCAAAAATAGCTTTTTTTTAAATACACAAGTGGCGCAATTCTCTTTTTGATATACTGATACTGATATACATCAAAGTGTCGTATATGACCTTTAACTTCGCAATGAAGGAATAATGAGTAAACTAGACGAATTTTTTTTTTACTCAATACTGCTCTCTGAGAAGGGCAAAATAAATTTTGACGAAACACGAATACATATATGAATACATTCCATTTATTAATTTTAAAATTCAATTTATGTGGAACTCGAACATTTATCTTGAATATTTAAGTGGAGCTGAATGACAAACGAGTCATTGCGTCGTACCCTTGACATATATTTGCAAAAATTTTGCAGCGATTTATAGTGAATGTGTGACATTTTCTTGAATAATTGTTGTTGTCGTTACAAGAACCCACAGATGTCGCCGCAATCGATTCAACACAAACACTTCTCAACAAAATACTGAAAATACCTTATTTTGCTTCTGGCATCGGTTGATAAAATTGACCCACCAAATCAGTGTAAACTGTTTGGGGGAATGAACCCACTTGGTCCTTTGTTAGCCGAGATTTTTATGGATTTTTATCCTTTAAGTAAAAGTTTTCTATGGTGGTATAGATACGTGGATGATGTCTTTGCTTGCCCGGTTGGAACAGATGGAACAGAATAACTCTATTAATTTTCTAGACTTAACTATTACGAAAACCGAAATTTTTTATTTGCAAAGAATAACCATGCAGCTGTGCAGAGAATAAATGGCGCTGAGTTTCCCAAAAATCAGCGTGCTTTTTTATTTCAAGGGAACGCACTTTGTTTATTTGACTGCCTTATTTCGATTCAGTGTTATTCCACGAATTCCGTCCTATTCAAAAGAATTTCGTGCAAGGTGCTTCCAGACTTTTCAGCTGCAGGTACCGAAGAAATGCGACTGAACGAAAGTGACTTGAGAAACGCGGAGTTTATTTTTAACAGTATTTTAACCTTTCTTCGAAATACAGGCGAAAAGAACATGACACGAAATGCGTCTGACCTTGACTTTGCGAATTTAAATGGAATGCGGCGTTGCCAGCTTGAGCAGCAGAACACGGCCTTATTTATACGAATAATTTTCTTTTGACTCCTGACGATGGGCGTAAACGAAACGTTTTGCCGGCGAACTGCTTTCTCACGTCAAAAAATAATTATCCGTTACCCGGGTAGTCGCCTTAACTGCCTTTTTTTTATTTTTAATCTAATTGTTAAGTGCCATCGTCATATTAAATCTATCCGAGCGTCTACTTTCCTTTTTGGTCAAAGGTAAAAGACCTCTGCGGAGTGAACCAGTTTTATTCACACGGAATGCATCTTTTGTTTCCACGCGTTCCTCCTTTATGGCGTGGTTATTAGGCAATTCGTCCATTCATGGTCCTGAGAACTTGTGTTTGTTGCATCGCTTCAAGTTCTCAATTTACCAATTG